TCCTCCTTTGTTTTTCCCCTACCATCCCTGCCCTCCCATCTCCATGACTATATTCCTCTCCTCTCCCCGCCAAAGTGGTAAAGTTGGTTTTCAGCATAGTATTTTGTACATCTCATTGTTGCAATGGGTCCACCTGTATCCCTATTTAAACAATTTGTTTTTTTCCCTTCCTCCATAAATTTTTATTTGTTTATTTGTATTCTTTTTCCTGATTGTTTTTGCCAGTCCCAGGGCTTGAACTCTAGGCCTGGGAACTGTCCCTGAGGTTTTTTGTTTTGTTTTGTTTTTTGTTGTTGTTGTTCATTTTGTTTTTTTGCTCAAGGCTAGTGATCTACCACTTGACCCACAGCTCCACTTCCAATTTTTTGGTGGAATTAGAGATGAGTCTCAAGGACTTTCCTGCCTGGACCGGCTTTGAACCTTGATCCTTAGATCTCAGCCTCCTGAGTAGCTAGGATTATAGGTGTGAGCCACTCACTAGCAAACGGCCTTGCTGACTCCTTTTTCTGTTTGGCTACCCTTGTCTACTGAGTCTGAAAAGATGAATTGTTCCAGCATATCAAATGTCCTTACACTGTAGTGCTGGTCTTTCTGAGATTATTCCTAGGCCCCTGGAATTTTATATGTTCTCAAATTCCTAAGTCATTTACTTGAAATAATGATATTATTATTATTTCTTTTTTGAGTCCCCCAGGTGGCTAATTCCATCTATTGTCTGGATTTTTACTAGCTCCATTGTACTTCCAATGTTCTTGGGCAACAATTCCTAATAAGCCCTATATTGTACAGACTTTGGAGCCAAATAATTTAGCTTTTCATCTGATCTGCTGTTGACCAGTTTTGTGACCTCGGCAAGCTATTTAACCTCTCTGTGTGGTGTTCTCCTTATCTGTAAAATGGAGACAGTGGTATCCACTTTACAAGGTATGAGGATTAAATGAGCTAATATATGTAAAGTATTTTGCACAGAGCCTGAAACTTAGGAAATGCTCAATAAAAATTAGTAGTCATTATTTATAATTGACAACAATTTTATCTTTTTGGAAAGAACAAGGCCTTTGGAATTAAGTCAGTGATCTAGGATACATTGGTTTGCCTTTTTTGAGCTCATATTGTCTTATTTGTAACACCATATATAGCCAGGCACCAGTGGCTCACACCTATAATCCTAGCTTACTCAGGAAGCTGAGATCTGAGGATTGTGGTTCAAAGGCAGTCCAGGCAGGAAAATCCCTGAGACTCTTATCTCCAATTAACCACACCAAAAAGCTGGAAGTGGAGCTGTGGCTCAAGCAGCAGAGCACCAGCCTTGGGCAAAAAAGCTCAAGGACAGCACCCAGGCCTGAGTTCAAGCCCCAGTACCAGCACAAAATAAGTAAATAAAATGAACAATATGTACTGGAAGTGCATGGCTCCAGTGCTAGAGTACCAACCAAGAGTTAAAATAAATAATAGAATAGTAGTAATGTAGTATTACCATTAGAAATCAGAATCTGTCAAAATTTCTAATAATATTGATCAAGAGTTGGTACTTCACTGCTTGATAAGACAGGTCATGTCATTCAAAATAGCACTCACATTCCTGAGATTACATGAGAAACAAAGATTGCTTGCTTGGCTTGGCTTTTGTTGTACTGGTCCTGAGACTTGAACTCAGAGTCTGAGCACTGTCCTTGAGACTTTTTTTAGTCATGGCTAGCACATTACCACTTGAGCCACAGCTCCACTTGTAGCTTTTTTGGTGATGTAGATAAGAGTCTCAGAGACTCTTCCTGCCCAAGCTAGCTTTGAACCATTATCCTCAGACCCTCCTGAGGAGCTAGGATTACAGGCAGGAGCCACTGGCATCTGATTGCTTTTCAGTTATAAGAGTTCTGTGAAATGTCATGCGAAGATCTGGGCTTTTTTCTTTCCTTTCATTCACTCATCCAATTGCCAGCATTGGTCAGTATTTCATGGCAGTTAAGAGAACAGAGGCTGACTCACCTGGAGTAGAATCCTGACTCCATTACTTTATATCTTGAGCAAGTTAGCTTGATCTTCCTAAGCCATAGCTTCCTCATCTGTAAATGGAACATCATAATATTTGCCAGTTAGGTCATATAAATGTTAGAAAAATATAAAGCTTTCTAAGTAGTAGCTGTGTCATTATTGTCTCATCACTGGATCCATTTGCTATATCCTAACTTCTCAGGCAAGATAGAATCCAAATATATTAGATAGTATTTCTGAAGAAGTGAAGCAGCTTCCTCAGGCTAGCTCATGAACATGCTTGGGAAGGGCCAGCTAGTTTGGGATTTTCATTTCATCTGAACATCTCTGGTTTTTGTTTTTGTTTTTTGTTTTTGTTTAACCAGGGCTCTGCAGATGGAATTTCTAAATCTCTAGAGCTTCATCAAGGTCGATCCCACTCCCAGATAAATGGAAACAATGGCACATTGATTAAGGAAGAGAAAAATGATCGTCTTCCAGCTCCTTCACAGTGTGCCTTATCCAGAGACAGCAATGTATGTGATAATGGTAACCGCTGCTTCCCTGTGAAGAATGGAGAGAAGAACCACTTACAAGAGCAAAAGCTAGAAACGGTAGCACACGGGAAAGAGGACTAGAGGACTAACAAGCTGAACATAGTCTTACCAGTTAGGAAGAGGGGAAAACTGTACTTTTCTGATTGGAGGCCCAAGTTAGAGGAGGCTATAAATGCTCACCCTTGATTTGTCCAGGATTTTCATGGGATGTCCTATTGTATACACATTTTCCCCTTCCATATTTTTTTCTCTGGGGCTCCAGACTTCGAAAGCTGGGAAATTTCTGTTTAAAGATGAATAGCAACAAGACTAGCTCTAATTCTTAAATTGAATCTATCGCACCAGTATTCACTTTATCTCCACTGGGAGTCTAGTAAGGCAGTAACTGTCAGAAAGAAAGCAAGGGTTAACACATAAAGTCCTATCGTAAAATTCCAGCTTTGTTTCTCTAAGTGTTTAACATTATAGTCATTTACACACTTGTGTGATAAATATGGGATTGAGGGGACAACTGTCTATGGCTTCCTGATTTTTTTTTCTTTATGAGGTGATGGGGAGGCCTTGATATAAGATCTGTATCCACCTCCTCTTCATTCTTTTTTTCTTTTTTTTGGTCCAGTCATGGGGCCTGAACTCTGGGCCTGGGCACTGTCCCTCAGCTCTTCAGCTCAAGGCTAGCGCTCTACCACTTGAGCCACAGCACCACTTCCGGCTTTTTTCTTTTTGCTTATGTGGTGCTGAGGATTTGAACCCAGGGCCTCATGCATGCAAGGCAAGCGCTCTACCACTGAGCCACCTTCCCAGCCCCTTCATTCTTTTTTTTTTCTAACTCATCTACTCCAGGATTTTGTATGCCACCTCTAGCTCTGGCCTGACAATCAGATAGGTAGATGTTTTCAGGGCAGTGAGTAGTATTGGTTATTTTATTTTGTGTTTTATTTTATACTTTTTTTAAAAAACAAAAAAACAAACTACCAATGGCCTTTGTACTGGGAGATTCAAGTGAGTCAGAAAAGTACTGGGCAGATTTTTCCTGCCTCTCAACCAGTGCATTGTTTGTAAAATAGAAGATATGGTGCAGTTCACCCACTCTCTGCTGCCCACACCCTGAAAGGGGTAAGAATCAATGTTATGAAACTGAGTGCAAAAGGGACTCAAAAGACTCAGTGTGTATGTGTGTGTTATGTGTGTATGGGTGTGTGTATGGGTGTGTGTGTGTATATATATATATATATATATGAGAATGTGTGTATCTGTATGCATACACATACCCTTTATATAAAGAGACAGATCTATTTATCTATACATATTTTATATATATATAAATGTGTGTGTATATGTATATGTATACACATGCATACCTACATGGTGATTTCCCAGAGGATTTACTGAATTTCCCAGAAATGCTTCCACTGCTATGGAGTGGTGGGTTTAAAAGATCACACTTTAAATCTGAAATCCTTACTAAGTCACTGCCCATCACAATTATAAGAAGATGGGCTACTCTAAATCAGACACAAAGCACTTTCCAGAGATTGTCTGTTCAGAACAACAAACACTTGGGTTGTTACAAGCTTCACTTTGAACAGAGCCCTCACATCCCATATACTGAAAAAGGGAGGTTGAAATGTGATTGGGAAGAGTTTGACATTTCTTTATGAAGGTTTGGAAAGGAAACGGGGATGGGAGGTGATTACTATTAGAAAGGGCTTTCAGCCAATTTTGGAAGAAATTTCTTGTGGAACTCCAGGATCAAATTGGATCAGGTGAGAATTGGTTGACATGAGTCCCTGGAGGGAGAGCTAGCATTGGAAAGATGGGGTAGGGAAGTGTGAGGAAATTTGACAAGTTGATTTTACATCCTAGATTGTTTCATTTGTTCATTGACATTTTGACTACCGGATCTTTTCATTTGCTTTGCAAGGAAGACTTCAGAGGACACTAGCCTCGGCCTTGAAAAATACTTTGTAAAAGATTCTCGGCCCTGTGTGGCCAAGATCTGTCCAGGATAAAGAGGCTATTCCTCCTTGCTGGAAATAATCTTGAAACAACCTTGCATTTCCAGTTTCCCTCCTTGGGAAGCCCTAGTATGAGGGATGGAAACATGGCTGCAACAGATAAGCATTATATCTTCATTCAGGAAGTGAGGCTTCAGCCTCACATACTTTCTTTTGGGCTTTATGATATTATTGCCCAAGAAGTACCATTTCTACAGGAATACAACTGACTAGACTTCTAGCAGGGTTCTCTTTTTGAAAAAGAAAATAACCCATGCACCTTAACCCGCAGCAGATCCTTGGTGATTTTTTTTCCCAGACAACCAGAAGGCTGTTTGCTAACTGCTCACTTACAATGACTGTATCTCAAGAAACTGAAAACTGTCCGGCTATTTAATTCTAGTCTGGCCCAGTTTAAATGAACCCAGTATTTGCAGGGGAAGGAGCCCTAGAACGCCTTGCCACCTGCCCAAATACTTCTTACATAAACCTAAGAAGGATGACAAAAGTATACACTTAGCCATATGTAAGCAGGAAAAAGTATATGACAACTTTCTCTTTCGAATGAGCTCCCAATTTGATCCCTCTTGGACCTTCCTAACTTTTCACAACATCTTAAAGGTTAGGACTTTTAGATTCAGCAAGGGAGGGGACTCAGTAAATTGAGATGGCTTGGAATTTTCTTTATGTGCCACAGAGAGATGAACCTTTGGAACTCTAAAAGTAACCAGAATCACTAAACTGTGAGAGAATGGTTATACACATATGGATATATATTGAATAGAAAGTATTTGGAGTTAAATGTAAGGTCTCTTTTCAGTTGCTGTTTCCATGCATCTTGAATGTATCTGACATAGTCGGGTGCCAGTATTGTTAACTCACAGCATTAAGATTCTTAGTTTGTAGGCATTCACTGTGAGAAGTAAAACTGCTTCTTTCACAGGGATGATTCCAGTTTACCAAAAAGCTTGCTTGTTTCCCTCCCACACACCTTGACTTTTACCTTAGCTTGACCTAGGGTGAAATAAGTGATTCACCTCCAACTCTGATTTTTTATTTGTATTCAGTATTTGGGGTTTAAAAGATTGAAAGAAAGAACTATGAAGGGCCATATCCCCAAATTTAAATTCATATACCAAAACACATGAATAAAAGCCACAAAGCTAAGGCTGATTACTGGAAAACAAACTTTTTTCTAAGCAGAGGACAAATTAGGGAAGAGAAGGTCTAACTGATATTTGCTGTGCCACTTGGAGAGACTCTCATCCTTTATCTGAGGTTCCATTTCTGACTGGGATGTGGCCACTTTCAAACAAAATCATGTGGGAAACCCCATAAATGACCCCTTCACTTTGTATGGCCACAAGCTAAAACACACTGGTTGTGTATGGCCACTGATCCCCAAGGGGTTGCAGATCTTAATTTCTGCTAGCATGTCTTTGGGTCATTCTGGACAGTCTGGTCTGGACCAGACCTGACAACAGACTTCTGCTCATCTGTATCATTTTCATTCTGACCCAGTAGAATTTTAAATAAACTAAAGCCCAAAAACTGGTACTTATTTTGGTTAGGGACATTTGATTTGTCTCCATCTTGATTTTCTGACATTGTTGGCCAAGTCACATTACTATCTTTTAATCAGAGCAAAACAGCCAGACAAGGCATTAGGGTGGGTGGTTAAGGTGGGTGGTGGGGGCAGGAATGCTTAGGTAGGGTAGAAAGAATATGGGAGTAGCTTTTTGGTTATGATGAGCCAGTCCTTTGGAATCTTAGAAGGCTCCTGTGGGCATACCAGTGCCACCATTTCAGCCTCTAAGACCCCCCCCCCCACACACATACTCCTTTGAAAGGACAATACAAGTAGACCACAGTTAAGTAGTTAGTGTAATTCTACTAAGGTTTAATCATACTTGTTCACTTCCGGGTGCATATTTCCTAAATATGCTTGGGGTTGGGTGGGGGGTAAGTTTTCACTATTCCATTGTATTTGCCCTATATTTTCCCCTCCCATGACTTTGGCATCTTATTTGACTTGCTCTTTCCCCTTCGCTTATTGCAGTAGTCTGCTGGTGCAGGTAGACGGCCGCTCAGTGCACCTATTTCCCTATTACTGCTGGTTACCTTCAATATTGTCCAAGACTATTTTGGTGTTCAAAAACAACTGTCTTTTTTAAAAAACAAAATCATCTTCACCAAGTTAAAAACAAAACAAAACATCCCCTGTGCTAGGGTGCCCATTTCAGCTTTTGCCATTGCCCCTGTACTTTTTATAAATGCTGTTTTCATCTGTGTTGGTAGTAACTAATGGCTAGTGAATTTCATGTAAATGAAGCAAACTGAATATTTCAGATTTTATTAATCTCATAACCCTGCCAAATCTGATGACTTCATTTTAATGACTTCCCAGAAGGCATTTCCCCTCCTACCTTTTATTTTATTCTATTATTAGACTAACACACTAGATAAAGAAACTTTAACTGCAAAAAGTCAGTGATTTTTAGTGCTCCCTGGTAAATAATGTTAATGACAAAAGTAAATTCTTTCATTGTTTTTTTTCCTGTGTTACTATCTCTTCTCCTGTGCTCTTGACAGTGTGTTTAGTGGATGGATAATACGTATTTCTCTTTCCCACTCCCAGATTCCAAATTCCCTGCCTTTTTTGGCCCACCTCACCACAAAAGCTCCATAGTTTATTAATGTAAGTTTGAATGGATGCTTCTTTGGGGAAACTGCAGAAGTTAATGAAAATGTTTCAGAAAGGAATGAGAATGTCTCTGGAGTTGTTCTGTGATGGAATTTGGTCTGTTGTTCTGTTAATGCTGATGGAAAGAAACTTACAGCGCTTAATAAAAGTTTATTCTTTTAGTAAAAAAAATGTGAAATAATACTGGGTGTGTGGAATTTTATTTTCCCATCATTTGATACCTTTCTACAGACTGAAAACATCGCACAGAGATGTTGGTGTCAGAGCATGTCAGAGCAGGAGACCCCTCACAAGAATTATCAAATTGAGGGTCTGGGAAGGTGGCTCAGTGGTAGAGTGCTTGTCTTGCATGCATGAAGCCCTGGGTTTGATTCCTCAGCACCACATTAGCAAAAAGAAAAAACCCGGAAGTGGCACTGTGGCTCAAGTGGTAGAGCGCTAGCCTTGAGCTGAAGAGCTCAGTGCCCAGGTCTAGAGTTCAGGCCCTACGACCGGACCCCCCCCAAAAAAAAAGAATTATCAAATTGAATAGTATATTTAGCTTTCTGATTCATCTTTTGATTTGGATGATCTAAAGCCAGTTTTCATTTAACATTTTCCAAACAGAACCTTTTTTTTTTTTTTTGTCAGTCGTGGGACTTGAACTCTGGGCCTGGGCGTTGTCCCTCAGCTCTTCAGCTCAAGGCAAGCGCTCTACCACTTGAGCTACAGCGCCACTTCCGGTTTCCTGGTGGTTTATTGGAGATAGGAGTCTCACGGTCTCTCCTGCCCGGGCTGGCTTTGAACCGTGATCCTCAGATCTCAGCCTCCTGAGTAG